TATGTAATATTGGAAATGTGTCAGTTCCTTGAAAACACCTGAGTTTGTGCTTTTACTTGGCATAATGTGGCATCTTGCGAGATAGGGAGCTATTCTTATTGTTATTTATATCCTTAAATTGGGTCAGGCCAAACAACATATCTTATTTGTATTCCCACAGCAGCAAAGGAGCAACTGAGTAGAGACTGGAAAAGAAGCTCTCGCCAATCAAAGAGGAACAGTTTTGCCCGTGTCCGCTCTAAATCAGAGCACAACGGTATGAGTGGCATGTTTGGAATGTACCTTATTTTGCTGAAATACTCAGCTGTGCATAGACACGATAAAACAAGTTAATCTCATTTTTTCATTGTTCATTTCAATTATTTAGTTCAAAAACGGAAAGTCATGCTTTATTAAGGTTAATTCAACAGGATTGTTATTCAATCCTTTTTAGTCTTGATGTTTGTGGGATATAGTTAATGGACATGGTAATTCTGTTTCACAGAAACTTTGAATGTTTAATTATTAAACAGTTAAAACAAAATACTATCCATATACAGGATAGTATGCACACTTAAGAATTGATTGGGGCTGTTTTTGCATCAGTTACTTAAACCAATAAGCAACCGTCCAGTCCTTTTCTGCTTAGCAGAGTTGAGATGTTTCAGATATTGTCTCTTCCAAAGGGTGGTTTGACATAAGATGCAGCTGTTTTTGTCCGTATGCATTTACATGATGGCTTTTAAGACTCTAGCTGCAGCCCACACCTTGTAAATCTCCTCCTTCGTGTTCCCTGGAAGGCAGCAGCTATCTCTGATACTTGTCCATGTTTTTTCCAGCCTTTTTCCTTCCACTCAACTTCACATAAAATGCTTTGTTATAGCACTCTATAAAAAGCCAGCTTGTATAGTTATAATATTTCCATATCTTTTTCCATAAGGGAGTTTTTCCTCTCTACTGTCGCCACAAGCATGCTTAGTTTGAGGAATTGCCTTTAAGTCAATAAGTTGATGCAATCAACTGGTTTTCCTTAGATAGAAAACTTTGAATAAATTTGATAGCATGATCTGGTGGAATTGTATTGTGCCTTGAGATGACATGTTGTGAGTTGGCACTATGTAAATAAACTGAATTGAATAGAATATATTATAGTTATGTCCATAACCGTCTGCTGGATATCTCTTAGTTCAGCAAACGTTCTCTGGAACATAAATATTCTATAGAAATCATATATTTTTTTTGGCCGTATGAATTATTCAAACGTTCTGAGAAACAGAATTTTGTATTTTCAGTTGCTGTAAGACATGAACATTGAAAGTTACAGAAATCTATAATGTGTTGCTGTGTTTACAATCTTGATTTTCCCTTTCTAAATTAAAGCACTGAAAAAAAACTATGTTTACTATGATATTCTAATTAATTGTGATGGCCTTCTACACCGTTTTTTTTTTTTTTTTTACAATTGATGGTATTTCTCTGCTGTCTTGCAGAATTCAAGGAACCATTTTCAAATAAAGTGGAAGGTATGTACTGTATTTGCCTTTACTTTTGTCAGTTTAGGATTTTTTTCAGTTAGCTTTAATTATTTGTCTTTTAAAAAAACAGAAACAAATTCATCACCTAGAAATCTGACTTCTTTATGTCAAAATGTGTCGGTGGTGGGCTTCAATCCTGCTGAAAAAAATCCAGTTTATGAAAGGGGCTTGGTTTTTAAGTGGAGGCTCTGAGTTAAAACCAGAAAAGTCCACCCTTCCTTTAATTAACTTCATTCCAGGAACGGGGATTGGTTTGACTTACAGAAATTATTATTATTCATCGTCTGTCAATATGCACTATCCAAAACTCCTCTAGTAGAAAAGTTTTAGTTTCACTTAGTTACATTTCTCAAAAATTCTTCTATAAGGAACTCTTTGCTATCTAGTTATGAATCGATTAATTGAAAAAATTCTTGACAGATTAATCAATTTGTAAAATAATCATGAGTTGCAGCCCTAATAGCAACAAAACAACATAGAAAAAATATAAGTCAACTTAAAGACTCTTTTAAAAGAAATGTAAGTAAAAAAAATAAATAAATAAGACTCCTTGGAAAAAAAACAAGAAAAAACAGAAAAAGAGGCGAGGTCGGGGTGGGATTTTAATACGTTTTCTTCATTATGACTCATATGTTTAAATTGATGAAGTGGCATTCGCTTGTGTGTTCCAATGGATGTAAATGTCTGAAAGAAATAATAACAAAAACATATATATATATATATATATATATATATATATATATATATATATATATATATATATATATATATATACACAATTTAATAACAGATCACAAGAGGAGCGCAGNGTTTTCTTCATTATGACTCATATGTTTAAATTGATGAAGTGGCATTCGCTTGTGTGTTCCAATGGATGTAAATGTCTGAAAGAAATAATAACAACACAAGTTATATATATATATATATATATATATATATATATATATATATATATATATATATATATATAACTGCACAATTTAATAACAGATCACAAGAGGAGCGCAGGCCTGAATGGAAGAGGATCCACAGTCATCACCGGATGGAAGCTGATCAGAAGGCAGTTTCTGGCACTCTTCATCAAGCGCTTCCACCATGCCCGAAGGAGTCGCAAGGGAATCATTGCACAGGTAATGGCCTCAGTTTGTCATATTGATAAATTGAAGGGTTATTCTTAGGCAGTTGCACAAGAGGATCAAGGAAGGTTTGTGTTAAATGCATGTTGGCTTCCCAAAATCATTTAGTGACACATATGATTGAGCGTGTTAATTTAAACTCTGTAGGGAATGCATCCATCTTGATGTAGTCAATAGTTGTGGAAATTTAAGTTGTTTAAAAAGAAATTTACACTCAAAGCAGTATATAAAGTATTGAAGAATAACTGCAGCTACCCAGAATGATGTAACGATGTGCCGGTGCAAAACATTTGCAATAATCATCTTCATATCCCAGAGGCGCATGTCGTACAAGGAGACGATAAGGAGACAAAAGTGAGGGTTAACCGGTGTTGGATAGGGGGTCATTATCATTATTCACACACACTTCATCTCCATATTAGGGGCAGGAAAACATTCAGTGTTCTGTTTGCCCATTAAAAGGACAACAATAGGTACAGCGGGGAAAGCTTCCAAAACATGATTCCAGCGACTGAAAAGTGATCCAACAGCATGATAACTTTCACCTGACCACTATGAAGGAAAAAAATGAGGAACGCTAATATGACACTTGTGATTTGTTCTCAACAATCAAGTGTTTTGATTAGCCAAGCATTAAAATGGAACAATTAAACAGATGACAGGCTCCTATTAGCTCATTAAGTAAATGTCTGTATTATTTTCTTCTTGATAAACATAATTTCAAAAGTCCAAACTAATAAAGATGCATGATTTCAGTAAGTCAAAACCAATTTCAAGAAGTAGCAATTCCCCAAGCACAGAAATGTGTTGTTTTTTTCAGCGTTGAGACTTAAATAGCCTTTGCTCTCTGTCTATATTCATTATTCACAACATTGTGCTTGTATATAACAAGTAATGATATCAGTTATGATCCCTGCCTTTGTGGTAAAAATAATCAGGACTGAAACAGAAGAGCAAATAACACCCTTTCCTGTGTTTGAGATGCAGAATAGAAAGAACAGTGTTTCACCTTTGATAGGCTCTTCTTGTAATTTGCTCCGGGACCAATCCCCATTAGTCACTGTCAGCTCTGGACGTCCCTCTGTAGAGAGTATGCAGAGTAGGATAGTTAGGTATGTGTGTGGATGTCTATGCACAAAGCTATATCTAGCTCTCTTTAGCTAAAGGTTCTTCTTTTTCCTCAGATTTTGCTGCTAGTAGATGTGTATCTGTTGGGAGGTTAAGTCTTTGATTGCAAAGCACTGATTCTTGCACTCTTTTACGATTCATACTTTTACTGTTTTTATGATTATTTATCACCATAATTAATCAAAATTCTTAAATTATGTAGCAAATGTTCACCATGGTTAGTTTACATCTGTAAATGAAGGTAGGCTTGGATAACAAAAGGCTGCTGCTGGTTATGTTGTTTTTTGGGTTGGGCAGGTTTATCTGGTGCGTTATGCTACGTTCAGACCGCACACTGCAGAGCTAGCAGAAGCAGCTAGTTTACATGCAAAGTCAATGGTTGACGCACATCAAGGCGCACCAAAGGTCCTGTAGCGAGTTTTCTTCAGAAGCAGCAGCTGCTGGAGTTGGAAAAATTGAACTTTTGCTGCTTGATGCGCCACATCAACCAATCAGAGAAGCTGATCTGGGAGCTGGCAGGGAGACAGATACATCGCTGATGATGCAGTTGTTCACTCCTCTGGAAAAGTTTATAAATGCCTAAATTAACCTAAAATTTCAAAACCTGCCGGCAAAATATGTTAGCTTTTATTATTCTGGTGCCTGCAGTTTGGACTATGTACATGAAAAAAGCCTTATAGTTACCGTAAACAGTAGCGGAAAACCGCAAAGAGGCAACCGGGCCAGTGGCTGGCGTTGAACGGGATTTCCAGGGACAGGAAACCACTGGTGTCCTGGGGTCCGGCAGCAAAATAGTATTTGAAGGCAGGATCATAATCTTAATTAACTAACTGCACAGATGAAGTTTTCAGGTGGACTTTCTTACTTAAAATGATCATCATTTACCCACCTATAACAGCAAATAGAGCAAAGCTGCTCTCTGCCACTGAACACAGGAGCAGCAGAAGCATCAGACACATCTGGACACACTTTACTGGACGTCTTTCCTTAATGTGGACAAGCATCAGAAATGAAGCAGCAGAAGCTTTTTTGCTGCTCCCAGTGCCTGCGGTCTGAACATAGCATTATTCATTAAAATGTGCCAAGCGTCTCTCTCGAATACATCCAGCATTGTTACAGGCAGAGAAAGGATAGGGTTGCTCCGCCAAATGCGCATCAGACCTACTTTGCGACTGCGCAGCAAGAGCAGCACTTTTCCTGCCACCACTGAACTTCGAATACTTGCTTAAAACAACTGAAGAGCACAGGCAGTTTAAATTTTGTGAAAATAGTTTTGCCTGGAATGTTCTTTAAACTTTATTGAACTTACGTTGGAGAAATTTACCTCTGCATTGCACTGTGGACTGCCATTGTGCAGCGCCCGGGGAGTAGTCGGTGGTTAAGGGTCTTGCTCAGGAACCCAGAGTGGAGGCTGTGAACCAGGTACTTGCAACACCCATCAGTGTTCTAGATGGCGCCGCAGATGGCAGCCACGGTGTGTTGGTGCGCACTTTTTAGTTTCTGATTCTGTTTTTGTCGGAGATGTTGCCAGGGTTTACTGAGAAATGTTCTTAATATATATAAAAATATTTAAATTCTAATATATTATATAAATATATTAAGAGGTTGATTTAATCCATATTTTCATATCAAAGTTTTGATCTAACTGGTGCCAGAACAAGTTCAAAAAGCATATCCGATCCACTTTAGTAGTTTAAAAGTGGAAACCTGGTTTTAAGGTATATTATTGACTTTTTTTTTTCTCCATTATAACCTCAGGCAACAGTACATGTGTCTAAAATTCAAAAGGGTGGTTCAGGTGACCCAGATTTACCACTGTTTCATTATGTCAGGTACCATTATTCTCTGAAGATTTTCTATGGAAATGGGTGCCCTTAGTAATGCACAGCACAGTAACAGGGCCACAACTCCAAGAGCTACATTAGAAAATGTGGATTTAACTTTCAATTTTATATTGAAAGGAAGGACTTAAAATCTATTCTTCCTTTTTTGTCTTTATTTTTGTAATGACAGTGTTAGCTAAAACAGCTACCTGCAAAAAAATAAAACATGTTTAATGGCCTTCCCTTGCTTTGTGGTCGTTAATTATTTCAATTTTTAACGTGCCAAGCAGCTAATGTGAAAAGTTCATGGCTGCTCTTGATTAATACATGACTGTGGAGTCAAATCCTTGACAAAAGCTTTTGAATATGCGTCGCATATTACTGTTTTCCAAAGGGAAAAAGACAAGTCATACATGAAAGCTGGAAAAAAAATATGAAAGGTTTTATTTTTTTGATAATTCTCCAAATAATTGCTTCACTAATAACAAAAGGGTTTTTAATAACTGACAATATTACCTCTCACCTGTTTCTTTTGTTATCCCTTTTTTATTTTTTAATAAAATTTCAAATTTTTGAAAACTGTAATAACAAAACATGATTAATCTTGACTTGTTTTCATTCCAGTTTAATTGGCAGTGTGTTGAAACCAGCTGGAAGTAGGTTGGGATTTAATCGTTATTCATAGGTACAAAACGGGAATTTGATTGACCTGAAGCACTTTACACCCAGTCTACATTCTATTGTTCATGATAGTGCGTATTTAATACAAAACTCATTTGATCTCTGTATAATGTTCCATATAAAGCTTTATAAGCTGCAAGGGTTGCAAGACACTACTCTGCACCGGTAAAAAAAAACAAATCTTATAGAAAAAATCGATTATGTTTAATCCAATTTGTTAAACCTTGGAGTTTAAAATGTGGACCATATGGGTTTAGGCTTTTTTGTGGCATTTATGAGAATAACTATCCATTTTCCATCACACTTTATCCCTGCTGGGGTCGCGAGCGGTGCTGGTGCCTATCTCCAGCCTTTTATGGGCGAGAGGCGGAGTACACCCTGGACAGTTTGCCACTCTATCGCAGGGCAACACTCAGACAAACAACCATTCAGGCACACACTCACACCTAAGGTTTATTTAGAGAAGCCAATTATAACCTAACAGTCATGCTTTTGGATTCTGGGAGGAAGTCGGAGTACTCGGAGAGAACAGAGGCATGCTCAGGGAGAACATGCAATCTCCATGCAGAAAGACCCCGGGCCGGTAATTGAACCTGGAACCTTCTTGCTGTTAGGGATCAATTCTATCCACTGTTCCACTGAGCAGCCAAGAATAACTAATCGTTCTATTTTTTTTTTTTATCAGATTTCTTTTGTGGTGACTGGTGCAAATACAGTAGAGCAAAAGGGAAAAAGAAAGAAGCAGAATTCCTATTTTTCAATGGTTTTCTGTTAGAGTTTTTCTGTCTTATTTCTCCTTTTTTTTTGTTTTCTTCTAAGCATAATTTCCAATAGCACTCCAATAATTGACCCAGTAAATTTCTGTGCTTTGCTATTTATCAAGCCCTTGCAGAACCTCCACTTTTTGAAGTAGCCTAACCTGCAAATCATTAAATATTGCAGATATTTTCCCTCTTTTACGTGACCCCTTTGTCAGTGATAACACTGTAATGAAAAGAGAATAACATGAAGTGGATTGGATATGAAGATGAGGTTATGTTCTTCTGTGTGTGTGCTTCTCTGTGTTAAATAACAAGAGACGAGAAAATGGCGAGAATCTAATTATATCTGAGTGGCCAGATGACGGCGGGTGTGTTGCAAGTGTTTAATCAAACTCATAAAGCATGCAGAGGACCCCAAACAAGTTGGCAGGGAGCATATTAATGTGTAAGCTTTGTTGTACCGGTCCTGTGTTGTTGTTAATTGGATGAGCCGCTTTTGGATTTTCTTCCACAAAACAACGAAAATGAGAGAAACTAATGATATGTTTTTGATTAGGAACTTGTGAACTTGTTAATACGGATCTGTATCAATATCTGCAGGATTGTTTTATTTAACACTTATAGTGAGAGTAAATTAAACAGATTAATTCTATGTACTCATTCTAAAGACAACTGATTAAACCAGATTATTTCCTGAGAGTACAATGGCTGCTGAATACATGCTGCATGTAACAGGTTTGCATTTGGGGAAAGTAGAGCAATATTTACTTTATCCCTCATGACACATTTCTGTATGACTTTGTGTTAGTCTGTTGTCTTAATTAACTTTAAGCTACATGTGTGTTGACTCATACTTGTTTGAGAACGTTTGTAGAGGTTAATGTTTTTAAAAGGCACTGTAAGCTTTTCCTCATGTTGGGTTTATTATAAACAATGTTCTGCATATTATCATTTGTTCGGTTGGATTTCTGTGACTTTCTCATTTTAATTCAAAAGGGTTTTAGATGGTGCAGTGTAGGGACAGTTTAATGAGGTGCTTTGACTTGAAATTTGTCCATGTCCCCCTAGGTGGTCTTGCCTGCTTTCTTCGTGTGCCTGTCTCTGATCTTCTCCCTCATTGTACCACCATTCAATGAGTATCCAAGTCTGGAGCTGCAACCGTGGATGTACGACCTTCCCCAAACCACCTTTTACAGGTAACAGTGGCATACAATAGTATATCATTGTTTTTTTTATAAATATATATTCCAATTATTTTTCCTTTATTTTATAAGTATGTTATGAAGGAAATGAGTTTCTGTTTTGGATTTCAACACCCCTAACCTGTAGGAGTTTGCCCTGAAATCGAAGGATTGACGGTTCAAGTCTTGGTCAAGTCTCCGGACTTGAAAAAAAAAAAAGCGCTATATAAGCATAGGGCATTTACCATTTACCATGTGTGTTAAAGCTCATCGGCCTGCCTGAATGACTGAGTCATGTGAAAAAAACTCTTGTCAGACAATTGTTCTGGATTCTAATTCTGATTTGGTGCCATTTTGTGTTTCATGACTTGGTGAGGGTTAGAATGTAGACAGACTGGTGCATTAAAAGCTTTGCTGTTTGGTCTGTGGACTAAGGAAGCACCCATATGAATGCAAGAATAGCCTTCATATGTTTTTCATTTCATTCAGAGACAGATTCACTGACCTTAGCCGGAAACTACTTTGTTCCAGTTGTTATTGAATATGCTGAAGTACTTTATTGCATCCATTTTCAATTCTACTACTTTAGTGTTACTGCCCTGCATGTTTTAGGTGTCTCTGTGTTGCAGAAAACCTAATTTAAATGATTGTATGATGTCCTCAGCAGCCTTGAAGATCTGCACAAACCTATTCCAGGAACTCTACAGTTCCTTGAAAGTTTTCAAGTCTTAACAAAAAAAGAAAAACAAGACCCTGGAAAGTTCTGAAAACATCCAAATTCTATTCCAAAAAAGTTAAAAACAATACACTGGACTTTGTTTCCTAGTTTGAAGACGTTTCCCTCCCCATTCAGGAAGCTTTCAATTCAAAATGTCTGGATTCGCATTGAGTTTGAGGCTTTATAGAGTGGACCAAAAACAAAGCCTTGTTTTTAGTTAAAAACAAGCAAACTGAACCTGACGAGCGGGTCCGCCCCGTTGAATGGGGGTCGTTTGGTAAACATAAACGTCTTCAAACTTGGAAACAAAGTCCAGTGTATTGTTTTTTAACTTTTTTGGAATGACTATAACCTGGATGACTGAGAACATTCTCCAGCATATCCAAACAATACTCTTTGAATGCTTTTTGTTGGTTTGACATTTCGGGCTGACCACTATCAGTGTGTTATTATAACTTCTTTATTGTATTTTATTATTCCATTTTTCACCACTATATGGCCTTGATGCATATTATAAGCCTGTATGAGGTGTTATGAAATCAACAATTTTGCACTTTCTTGAAAAGCTACAATGCTTAAGAAAAGCCATCATTACACATAGCATCTATCATCCACATGGATGAAGGCTTTACATTCCTTCCCTTTTCTTTTATCAATTCTGGTCCAACTACTTTTGTGAATTTTTATTAGATATAATAAATTTGCACCAGAGGTGAGTAGAGTAACCAAAAACTGTGCCCACGTAAGTGTAACACTTCTTCATTATAAATTACCCAAGTAAAAGTAAAATGGAGCCATCCAATCAATTACCCAAGTAAAGTTAAAAAAGTAATTAGGAAAAAGGCTGCTCAAATACAGAGTTATTGATCATAACATCAGATTTAGAGTTTTAAAAAACATGTAAATGTATGAAACATCAATTTATGACAGTTTTGAAAATGAGATAAATAAATGTCATATATAGCATTCAGTGATTAAATAATAATTACAGGGTGAAAAACAAGTTATTTTTTGCGATAAATCTGATGTCACTATTGATATAATGATATGCATGTAGGTGAGAATAGGATCAGTTACCTCCTGTAACTGTATTTACACTTAACCTCCAAAAGACAAAGCAGGATCAACAAATAGAAAACAACAGTAGAACAAAGAAGCTGGAGTAACATGTTGATGATTGTCTCTTTGGTGGCATTTTCTGCTTTAAACTAGCCTGTTCTTCTTTGAGTGAAGTTATGCATGATAGGTAGGGTAGCCCGACATTTCACTCAAGTAAGAGCAGTGATACTTGAGCATATTTTTATTCCAGTAAAATAAAAAAGTACAATGTAGAAAAACTCCTTAAAAAAAGTACATTATTATTTTTTTTAAAAGTTACTCAAGTAAATATAACTGGTTACCACAGACTTCTAATTTGCATTCTATTAAAATAGCTTTTCTAAAAGAAAATTCAGCTCTAGCAGTTGGTAAAATTACCTTCTCCAAACTAAAACAAAAGCCACAATTTGCCAAAAAGTGATGGTCTGCCATAAACAGATCAGCAGTTTCAGCTGTCTAGTCGATGTTTCATATCAGCAAGTATGAAAATTATTACCCTTCTCATATGCTACTTAGGCTATAACCACACATCTGTTATATTGCCCTGTTTTCCCGACCCTATTACCCTAGCATTAGTTTTTAACTTATATGGAGACATACTTCTCCTAAAGTCCTTCATAAACAAATTACGACTTTCTTTTTATTGATAATATTTGATTGCCTGATTGCCTTTACTTGCAACCTAGCTCTAAATAGTTTTCAGCTCANACTTTCTTTTTATTGATAATATTTGATTGCCTGATTGCCTTTACTTGCAACCTAGCTCTAAATAGTTTTCAGCTCAGAACTGGAATTAAAAATTGTGAGAAAAGTTGATATTCTTTTAAACTTAGAGTGCTTATGTGATAATTAAAAACTGATTTTTAGGTAGCCTGATACAAGATGATTCGGTTTTGGGGAAAAAACAATTTATTTTCTTCTTGCAGTCATGTTTCAAGTTTACCATTTACAGTTGAAAAATCTAGAGTATTTCTAATCTCTTTATACTTAAATTTATTAAATATACTTTGTGTAAATATTATTGAAATGAAATTCAAGATTTTGACATTATGGCCTTCACATATGAGGCCTTGCTTGTAAACCACAGTGTTTAAGCAAATCAAGGTAGGACTAAATCCTTTTTAATAACAGTAGGAATATGAATTTATTATTCAGTTTGTACAAACACTGTTAAAAAAACATGATTAAAATATTCTCTAATCCTCTTGAAGTGAATTTATTTTAACACTAACTACTTATTGATTTGAAACGTTTACCCGTTCAACCTTTTTAATCTCATTTGGATGCAAAACCTGCACATCTGAGGCAGCACTAAACACCAAAGGCAGAAAATCAAAGCAAAAGGATGTCAAAACTCTGCTCACTGTGTATTGGCAGCAGACTTTGTCACTGCTAAGGTCATCAGTCTGGATGCTGTCCTACTCTTGGCCATATCTCTACATCACAAGCATAGCTGCTGACAATGTTTTGCTTTGACTAACTCTATAAAGTGCAGTAAATTTTACCTATCCAAATTCCTTTTTAAAATAGTTATCACAATATCATAACGCCTAACTAGAAATAAGATTTAATGCAAACATATGTTCCCAAATATTCCTTCTTTATGAAAAGGTAGATGAATTAGACAAAACGTTTGAGATCATCTTGCTATTATTGATAATGGAATT